AGTTGGTAAGGTCTTATAATGAACTTAAGGCCACGTTTGTTTATGTGGATTGAATTAAGTTGAATTAGGATTTTCATGACTAATAGTTTTAAGATTACGAATCCTTTGAATTGTGTATCATATCTTATGTTTAGATTGAGTTAGGATTATAAAAAGAAACTAATAGTCCAGGCTTTGACTTAGTCTTTAAATTTATATCCCAACCCTCTCTGTGGGATTGAATAGTCCATCATATATGAGATACTATATCCGGATGGATTGTTAGTCCATACTTCAATTGTTTAATCAAACATCGGATTAATAATTTTATTGGACTATTAGTTTAATCTCAAGCTCATATCCACCCAAACAAACATGACCTAAGAGTGATCAGTGATTAGAAGTTTTATTTTGAGTCTAGGCCTAAGGTTTAGGTTGGATAATTTTGTAGAACTATAGCTTCATTTATGCAGAAGAAAAATGCTTTAGACCTCTAAATTGTGAGCTCTAGAAGAGCTCTAATCTGTAGGTCCCAGTGTGTGATTTGATGTTTTGGTCTTTGTTTTTTTTTTTCTTTTTTTTTTTCAGGTTGCCACGTCACTAGTGCTCTTATTAGAGCTCTATTATTAGAGGTCTTAATCACCACTCTATGCAGAATTAGTTAAGGCAAAATCCCAAACACCTTGTGATAAAAAACAAAGAAAAAAAAAAAAAGAAAAGTGCTTTTTTATTACGTTATGTTTCCGTTTATGACCAAAAGTGGTAAAAGTAGCCAAGCAAAGTAATTGTAAACTTTGGTTATTTTTCAATTCAAACAATGCATTTTTTTTTATCATATGAGTGTGTGTCAATTAGGGTTGGTTTGGAAAGTAGATTGGTTTTTTGATTTTTTAATTATTTTAAGTCTCGTTTAGGAACATGTTAATTTAGTAATTTTTTAGTTATTTGGTTAAAATATGAGCTAAAAAAATTAATATGTTTGGGATAACTTTTTGACTTTTTACGAAAAGATATACAAAAAGTAGAGAGAAAATTTTTTTTTTGACTTTTTGGTATGGGTTGTTGACTTTTTGACTAATTTAGTAACTTTTTGACTTTTTGGCTAAAAGAGAGGGTTCCCAAACGAGGCCTTAGTCTAGAGTTAAAAGTCTCGTTTGAGAAGAGTTTTTTGACATTTTTGATTTTTTGTGAGAGAAAAAATGTAATGATTATGGGTTGGATGTAATATTTTTTCTTATTAGACTAAAAAGTCTATTTTATTTTTTTATGACTAAAATAACCCCAAATTCAACCAAATCCGTCTTCCCAAACAAAGCCTTACTAGAGTGAAATTTAACTAACACTCTTGATATTAACCACAACTACCCTGAGTTATTTATTATTGCCACTAGAACTAAAATAATAATATTACAATGGCCCAACCATTAATACAATTGCCTCCAAGTATTTATTTTAATAGTGTTATATATACCAATTAATATATTAATTAATGAACCAAACATATTATATGATATTGCACAAAACAATAAATCCACCTGTTATACAAACTATATATGCTATGATATTATCACTTCAAAATAATGGACTTCACCTATTGTACAAACTACATATGCTTTGATAGAGTAATATTAGAGACTCTAAAAATTCTACTAAAAACTATACCAAATGTCTCATATGGGTGTGAGACCTACATTGTGTGGGTCCCACACGAGACATTTGATTGCAAAACAATAAACCCACCCGTTATATAAACTACATATGCTATGATATTATCACTTCAAAATGATGGACTCCACCTATTGTACAAACTACATATACTCTGATAGAGTAATGTTAGAGACTCTAAAAATTCTACCAAAAATTATACTAAATATCTCACATGGGTGTGCGACCTATATTGTGTGGATCCCAAACAAGACATTTGATTTCAAAATAATAAACCCACCGGTTATATAAACCACATATGCTATGATATTACCACTTTAAAATAATGGATTCCACCTATTGTACAAACTACATATGCTACGATAGAGTAATGTTACAGACTCTAAAAATTCTATAAAAAAATTATACCAAATGTGTCATATAGGTGTGGGACCTACATTATGTGGGTCCTACACGAGACATTTGATAGAATTTTTGAAGTCTCTAACATTTTTTGCTACAATATTATTACTTCAAAACAATGGACCCCGCTCATTATACAAATTACAAGATCCAAAATTTTGAAAATTATGTCACATCATCTGTTAATTAGTATATACATATAGCTTTATTCTATTTCTTTAGAACTCTCTTAAAAATTAATCTTAATAGTCTTTATGGGTTCATTTGGGAAGTGGGTTGACTTTTTGGTATTTTGACTTTTTTGACTATTTTAGCCTGGGGCTAAAAAGCTTCGTTTGTGAAGGGCTTTTGGCTTTTTTGTGAGAGGAAGATTATAATAATTATGGGTTGGATGTGATATTTTATTCTATGAACTAAAAAACTTATTTTATTTTTTGTGACTAAAATAGCCAAAAAAGCCCCAAACTTAACTTCCCAAACGAAGCCTATATGATCCACTTAGCCATTGTTTGGGAAGTGAGTTTGGGTGGGTTTGGGGCTAAACTAGTCATAAAAAAATAAAATAGGCTTTTTAGTCCTAATAAGATAAAACGTCACATCCAACCCGTAATCATTGCATTCTTTCTCTCACAAAAAAGTTAAAAGTCCTTCCCAAACCAGACTTTTTAGTCCCAAACTAAAATAGCCCAAAAAAATCAAAAAGCCAAAAAACCAACCCATTTCCCAAACCAAGCCTTAGGCGACGAGTCCTTTCTTTTTCAAGATTGCTCAACCTAGAATTTATACACTGATCCTCGTTTCCAATTAGCCCCCACAAACAACAAATTTTCCGTTTACCTTTCACTGCCAACCTCTCCCATTCTCGTCATTTGCCGACCATTATTATCCTATCTGTTCACTTTTTTTCTCCTTCATTGCCTTTCCTAACCTTTTCCCTAGTTATTACTAAAATTAGAAATGGCAATGAGGCGGGGCTGGGGATCACACTCCTCGTCCCCGATCCCCGATGGTAAAAATTTCTCTGCCCCCAGTCCCGATTCCCGACGGGAGATCTATCGCTGTCCCCATCCCCCCATCGCCGCCCCCGAAAATTCCCCAAATAAAAAAAAAAGCTTATGTTCTTGGTTATGGATTGTGCATTTGCTTCCATTCATTTTGTATTCCTTCTATTTCAATCTCAATAAATCCCACCAAAACAATTTCAGATCCATCACTAATTTACACCCAAAACAAAATTTGCATTTTAATTTCAAGAATACAATAAGGGCAAGCCTAGTGAACACAAAAAAACATGGACATTTTTGACCTTTTCCCATTCTGAGAATTCTGATTTGAAAAGCACAAAAAAACAACTAAAATTTCAATTTGGACATTTAATTAATTAACTCTTTACCTGTGCAAGAACACAACCGTGGCGAGCTCTTGACAATAACGTTCCTCTAACTCAAAAATGATCTTGAAAACAGTCTCTCTGAACTAAACATTTTCAACTCCATCAAACTAACGACTTTATCAAATCTCAACTACTTTACTCTTTATCAAACAATCCAATGAAAACCACCAAACACTACACTTATAAATAACCACTCTTTATCAAACAATCCAGATTCATAACATCATCATCAACATCACAGATTCATAGAGAGAGAGAGAGATATCTGCTCAGATCTGCCGTGACGGAGAAAACAGACGCCGGAGGCGAAGAAGGTGGCGCTCGGCGACGATGTTCGGTGCTCTCTCTCTCTCTCTGCTCTCTTTGCTCGGAAAAAGAGGAGGAGGTGGTGCTATCTGATTCGGCAGTGAGAGGCGGTGAGGAAGAGAGAGAGAGAGAGACCAGAGACGGTGATGAAGAGAAAGATGTGAGGAAGAGAGAGAGAAAGTAGATATAAATGAATAAAAGATAAGAAACATTGAATCAAAAAAGCATATATATATATATATATATCACTTCGAGGGACAAACAGGGCGGGAGTCGGGGCTGGGCTCAAGACTGAAACATGTATCCCTGTCCCCGGCCTAAATATCAACAGGGATTTGTTTTTTAATATCATCATCGGTCCGTTAGGGGTATTTTTCAGAGAATAATCGCTCAATTCGAGGTCGAGGGATCTGGTCCCCGTCAGGTCGAGTTCAAATTGTCATCCCTAACTAAAACCTTCTCCATTTCCTCTTTGGCTTGTTTTTGAAAAATAAATTAAAAGTTAATTTTAATTTTTTTAAAAAATATATAAAAAAATAAAAAAAAAATATAACTTAAAAAAAGTCAAATAATTCAAAAAACTACTTCTAATCATGTTCTCAAAACAAGCCTTCATCACTTACACTTTTATCTTCATCTTTAGGTTAAGTGGGCCATTGATGGGAGAGTAGTAGTTTGTAAGACAACCAAGGTACAAAAAGTGTAAAGGTGGAGTGTAAGCAATTAGAATTCATTTGAATTTGCCTAAATGACGGAGGTTTACTTTGAAAATTTGATTAAGAGATTGTTTAGAATAATCTAAATAAGTGTACTTTTTGACTTTTTATGAAATATGAGTTAGATTTGAATTGAGTTTGAAGTGATATGTTAGAGAGATAATGTAACTTAAATAAGATGATGTGCCTTAAATAGGATAATAACTTTTTGATTTTTTTAAAACTTGCCAAACCAGCCCTAAAAGTCAAAAGTTAGGTTTTAACTTATTTTATGTCAAATTACTATTCTATTTTTATAAATAAAAAAAAAAAATTTAAAAATAAATAAATAAATAACTTTCAACTAATTTTTCAAAATAACTATAGTTACAATTAGACCTAATATAATGAAGAGAATGCTGTAAATTGATCCTCCAATGTTCTAGGAGTGGTGACAAACCAAAATCATCTTGACATATTTTAATTTGTTCCTGAGTACAATTGTCAAATTATTTTATTTTATTTTATTTTTTTGTAATTTTTTCAAAACACTTTGAAAGTTCATAAAGAATGTTTATTCAACTCAATATCACACACATAGCACCAAATAATAGGAAATTGATATACACTGCACTGATCAAGATTTTCCCGAACTTTTTTTGATTTCCCGAGAAAGTAATTTTACAACAATGCCTCACACTGTGCATCAAATAATTAAGAATGATTGGCATATAAAAGAGGCAAACCTTTTAGTTACCGGTAACTGGTCGTTCCGGTTGATAGGTGAGAGACAAGAGCTGGGGTCTAAGTTTATCTTTCCAGAATTCACAGCTAGGTCCAACCTCACTCTCTCTCCTTTTCACCTCCACCACCACCAGCTCATCCGTTAACCGGTCAATCTCCACCACCACCACGAAAAGACCATTTTGCCCTTCCACCTTCAATCCCCAATCCTTCTTCCTCATCACCGTCAACCCCTCCGCCTTCGCCACCGCCTCGATTTCTCCGATGATTTTCTCAGGCGGCGCCGCCGATATAAACCGCTCGCTTCCGGTCGGAACCGCCGGGTTATTGAGCAAACCAGACAGATCAACACCGGAGGAGAACGAGATTATATCGAAAGCGTTCAAGAACCGTTTCTCGTTCTCGTCGTGGTCTTTGAGTTCGAAATCATTGGATTCGAATTTGATTTCTTTGTATCCTTTTTTGAACCACGGATCGGCGACGATTTCATCGACGGTGATGCGAGTTTGGGGATTCGTGTCGAGTAAGCGAGACAAGAAGCGTTTGAGATCCGGAGAAATCCATTTCGGACACCGAAACTCGCCTTTGTAGATTTTTCTGTACATCACCATGAGATTCGCATCGTTGAACGGTAAGTAACCGACGTTGAGGACGTAGAGTATGACGCCGCATGACCAAACATCCACCTTCGCTCCATCGTAACCTTGCTTCGCGAGGATTTCGGGTGCCACGTAAGCAGGGGTACCGCAAAGCGTGTGGAGGAGTCCGTCGGGTCGGATCTGATCCTTCACGGCGCTGAGCCCGAAATCGGTGACTTTCAGATCCCAATTCTCGTCGAGGAGGAGATTCTCCGGCTTCAGATCGCGATGAAAGACGCCGCGAGAATGGCAGAATCCTACGGCGGAGATCAGCTGCTGGAAATACCGACGGCTGAGATCTTCGCTAAACCGTCCCTTCGCGACCTTCGCGAACAGCTCGCCTCCCTTCGCGAACTCCAACACGAAGTAGATCTTCGTCTTCGTAGCCAAAACCTCGAACAGCCTCACGATGTGAGGATGACGCAGCCGGCGCATGATAGAGATCTCTCGGTTAACATGCGCCGTGAGGCCTCCCTTAAGAATTTTTTGCTTGCTAACTGCCTTGATCGCGACGCTCTGGCCTGTCCTGACGTTCCTAGCGTGATACACCTTCGCGAAGGCTCCATAGCCGAGAAGCTTTCCGAGCTCGTATTTTCCGAACAGGTTCGTCGCCGGAGGCAAAACATGGCCGGAATCATCTACGATCTCTGGCATTTTCTCTACCTAGAGATCGTAACTCTGTATTCTTCCTCAAAATCCTCTTCTCTTGGCATGAAACCACTCAGCAAAAACTGTTCGCTCGAAAATCAAATCAAAAACTCTGAGAAATTAAATTAAAATTTTAAAAGAATATTTGAATTTCAAGAGTGATTGGATGTTCCAAGGATGTTCAACTATTGGGATACGCAAGGATGATTGATGATGATTATGATGATAATGATTCAAAGAGAGAGTTATCTATATAAAGCGATTACAGAGAAGTTTGAGAGAGAAACGGGACTTGTTTTTTGTTTTTCTGTTGGGAGAGAGAGAAAATTGGGGGGCTTTTTTTTTTTTTTTTGTGGAATGGAAATAAATATTTACGACTTGTTTGTTTGTTTGTCCATTTAAAGAAAAGTTATTACCTCCTGAATAAAAAATAAAAATAAATAATTAAATAAAAATTATCGGGTACGGATAGGCTTGTGTTAAATATAAAAATAAAAAAAAAATTAGGAATTTTAAGAGTTCTATTAAATTTTTTATTAAACACTCACATGGATATGGACCTACATAAGTGGGACCTATACCTATATGGATATTAATAATGCTAGAGGGCCACAAAATTAGTGGCTCAAATGGCTCAAAACTGTCAAAACGACGTCGTTTTGGGCACAAAACGACGCAAAACGACGTCGTTTTAACAGTTTTGAGCCATTTGAGCCACTGATTTTGAGGCCCTCAAACATTTTCCTATGAATATTTAGTAAGATATATGGTACAACCTTTGAATCCCTGTAGCATTGCCAAAAAAAAAAAAGAAAAGATAAATTATAAACATATTCTTTGAAATTTACTTAAAGTATAAATTGTCATCTGTAATTTAAAAAATGACAAATACTTCATTGTCATAATTTTTTATTTAACAGAATTAATTAAAAAAATAAAATTCATAATTGCTCTCATATATAACAATAAAATTACTTAAATTATTAATTAAAACACATTTATAATATCATTAAAAACTATTAATTGATTTGATGATTTATTAATAAAATTGACAATGTGTTATGAAATTAGAAATCTCAAGGGGTATAATGTAATTTTCAGAACCATTAGGGGCGATTCTTAATTTAATCAAACATTAGGGGTGTATTTATAACTTACCCTAAAAAAAGTCATCTAAATCAATTTAATTGAGTTTTGTTGGGATGTGTATCATATGCATTTTTGTTATTGGGCATGGCTTTTGTCCAGTCCTTAATCGGACTGGATGGTTCTGTTGGGCCCGTGGGGACCCACTACGGGTCCCGTTTTGATAATCTGAACCGTTCAATATTTAGAATTCGTCGAGTACTATATGCCTGTAAAAAATCACATTAATCGGATATCGATAGCTATGTGATCAAATCAGTTTTGTATAAAAAAAATGGACGGTGAATAAATTAGCGGTTGACAAAAATCTGTTTTGATCATATAGCTATCGATATCCGATCAACGTGATTTTTTATAAACATATAATACTCGACGAGTTCTACACATTGATGGTTCAGATTATCAAAACGGGACCCGTGATGGGCCTTCATGGGCCCAACAGCGTGGTCCAGTCCGATTAAGGACTGGATAGAAGCCATTCCCTTTGTCATTTATTACCTTTGTAATGTTTAGTTATAACTAGAGATACAAGAAAAATTTTAAAAAAAATTGACCAAACTGATTGAATAGGATCGAATTCGGTAGGGGTATTTAATGGATATTTTAATTCGCCCAAACAGATCGAACCGAACCGAACCGAACCGATCCGTTGCATTTTGAAAGGATTCGTGATGACAAGTGGACGGTTGCGAATTGATTTTTTCCCCAATTCACTTAGTTTTGGACGGATGACGGATTTGTGATTACTTTGATCGCAACCGAACCGCCAAACAACGAGTACCCCTAGTAATTTGTAAAATTTTGTGTTTTTAATTTGTTTAGATATTCTGTTTGTGTTTTCAATTAAAAAAAAGTTTAGATATTCTGTTATATATTCAATTTGTTTTCAATTTGAAAATCCTCTTACCAAATGGCTAGTGTTGATACTTGATATTTTTATGTGGAAAATATAAAGTTTAATTTTGTCATTTTTTTTAAAAATCAAATTAAATAGTTTTTTAATATAAAAAAAAGTAATGAAATAGTTTTGATAATGCATAATTTTCTTTTATGTATTTATTATTGGTATTTAACAATTTATTTGATAATCTTTTAGTTTTGTTGAGTTAGATTGTTATGATATATATATATATATATATATTGGCAAGTTGTTGTACAAAGTTCAAAATTTGTAAAAGTTTAAATTGTCAAATAGATGCGCATCTATCTGCCAATCATATTCGCCTATCCGGCAAACGGACGCAGATTGATTTTTTTAATTTGCCAATCTGGCGGACCAATGGCATATTGGAGGTTTCCCAGCCGCAATCCAACCAGGAGCGCCACTAGAATCCAATGTATTTGGTCTATTTTTTTAAATAAGAATTGGTTTGGACAATTTTTTAATTTAATTTTTTTCAATTTTCAATTCGGTATTGATTTAAGCACTTTATACACTTTACTAAATCGAAACTGACTGCTTCAACATATATTGTATTTATAATATATATATATATATAGATATAATTTAATAATATAATGATGTTAATAAGTATAATAAATTATTAATCTCAATTAATTAAAATTATCATACTTATAATAAGTCCCTAATTATTTGTAATTTTAACTCTAACTCATTATTTTTGAAGTCTTAATATTTATTATTGTTTTTTTGTTTATATTTTGTTAATCTAGAAATTGTAAAATATTTATTAAATGATGGATTAGATATATTTGAAAATGATTAACAAATGGCTAATTAATGTCTTTAATAAATGAGTGACTATACTAAAAAAAAGGCTTAAATTTGAAAGATTTTAAACTGATTAAATAGCATCAAATCAAACCATTTCAATTGATGCGATTTGATGGGGGAAACGGTATGTATTGGTGTTCAAAATAATTAAACTGACATTATCGGTTCGGTGAAAAATTTTATCTAAATACCGACCGTACTGAACTGATTACATCTTTAACTATAACCTATTGTGATGTTAATTATGACTCATTGTGATGTTGATTATAGCATTATTTTAATTATGATTCAAGAGTTATTTGATTATAACTCATGTGATATGTGGTTATAACTCAATTTTTTTTTTTAGTTAGGACTCTCATAATATTAAATTATGACATTTGTAATAATTAAACTTACAAATTATGTAACTTGTATATGTAAACACTCCTTTAAAGGCGTGTCCCATAACATTGCCCACCTGTACGAGCACGAAATAATGTTCTCGTATAATCCTGTTGATCAAGTCTGTGCTTCTCCAAACGTCGTCGCTTTACTCCCTGAAAACACAAACGTGAGTTAACCGGCAGGTGTGTGCCGGATACCTTTCCGATGCCTAAGTCAACAAATAGACAACTAGACAAAAGCTCTGTGTATTCGAGAATCAAAGTTGTGTTACCTCTACATAGGTTATGTTGTGAGCTTTTATAGGTTCTGCATAGCACAATCCTAGTAGGACCCTTATTCCTCCATGTAGAGTCCTCCTAGGAATCACACTCCTGAAAGATAATGCTTATCCTTCAACACCCCCCTCACTGCTTAAACCAAGTGAGATGGTTTTACCATGGTTGGATGACAGTATGACTGAGCTAACACTAGCCATTTGTCATACTTAATCCAATGTCTTCACATGCAACACATAGCTCGGCTCTCCTTTCACTTGTACCTCGGTTTTGGCCTGTTGAGACCGAGCTAACTATACCAAGCTTCAACCGAGCTGTCAAAAGCAAGGTCCTCCGCAGGAAGCCCAAATACCTCATCTCCGAATACTCTGACCGAGCTAAGCACCACTTCGACCGTGGTGACTGTAACCATTTTGGGACCGAGCTAACTACAAGGTCCTTTCACTCAGCCCTTTTTACCGCGGCCCACAAAGTGGCCCATTACCACGCCTTGGCCTAGCTCGGTCCTAATGCACATAAAAACTCCTTCTCAATTGCCCCTTAATTCCATCTGCGTAGCATGATTGGGATTACCTGTTACCAGCCGAGCTAAAACTTTAGACTTTCAACCAAGCTAAATCGTCACCGGGCTACCGATTGGTTCGGTCTAAAAAATGTCTTTTCAGTCGCTGCAAAACTGAATCGTTTGTTATTCCCAAAGACATGTGGCTGGCCTCTATTGGTTGAGTACAACTATCGACGCCGACTTCGTACCTCGCGAATTTTGAACAGTCCCGCCTTTTTCACATGTTTTATACAAAAAAACCCTACGTTTTGAATCAACCATTTCTACTATTTATCTTCTCTCTCTCCTTTCCTCTGAGCCTTCACTCTCGCAAACACAGTGCCTGCGAATCTCTTCATTGCGATCTCGATCTTCATCCTCTCGTCTTCATCCTATATGTAACTCAATCTCATTTCCTTTTTGTTTGTCTAGTTTCTGTAGTATGTAGCATACTATTCATATGTTTCTCAAAACACACTACTTTAGCTTCCATTTTTCTGGGAAAAAACCATGTAATAGAACCACTAGATTCATGAACAATTTGAGAAACAACGCTTTTGATCCAAAATAATACTCCAACCGAACTAGGATCTTGTTGGTATTAGGTGCAAGCCTAGCCAAACTGGATAACTCTTCTAACAACCGGACTAAAACTTCATGCCATACTTGTAGTTTCAATCGGTCTAAGAACCTTCTGTTTCATTTAGCCGAGCTAGCGAACTGTATTAGGTTTGCACACTACCGCATTAGAAAGCCTTAACCAACGACCGGGCTACCACTTGGGGCCAAACCTCCGGACTTAATCAAAACCGAACCAAGAATGCCTTATCCTAAGCTTCAGCCGGCCTACGAACCTCTCGTTCCACTTAACCGAGCTAAAGTCCTTCGCTTCAACCGAGCTAAGGACAGATAGTATCCCACGTAGTCGAGCTAGGACTTCATTTATTTTGCCTTTGTTTCTTTTAGCATGGTCCAACGATCTGCGCTTAACACTTTTCCTTTTCACTTTGTGGACTGACTTAGGTTGGCCAGACACATCTTTGCACGCTCAACCGAGATACTGAAGGTCATCTCAACGCCGAGCTAAATTATACATAATTTAAGGCCACATGGGAAAGTATCGATTTTTAGTGAACTCTCCAGGGGCCATTGTAACAACCCCGACCTCTGATTAAAGTTAATCCATGATTAATTGTGCCTAATTAGCAATTAAGGTAAAATTCTGAATTAATCTGCATGTGTGTATTGCATTGTTGTGTTTATATCTGTTAGGC